TGGGTCCCATCTGCAACACAGCCATGAGCTAGACTCTGTTTCTGCAAAACCAATTCCAATTGTCAACATACTTAATCTATAGATTTCGTTCTATTTTGTGCAATTTCTTTTTTTTGGGGGGGGGGGGGGGGGGAATGGGGGAACAAGAAATGAATAGAATAAAATTAATTTCTGGACATTATTTTCTGACCATTTTCAGCTTGTATTTCGTGGAACCATCTTTTGTTAGTAATTCAACTCCACCGGCTACACGAGTCAGCTTCTTGCAAACTGGCAATGGTGGAGAAACTGATTCACGACTTCTCTTCTTCATGGCTGTGACATTTGATACAAAATTCTCAATATTGCCCTTTTCTTTTCTAGTGAATAACTAGTGATCTCAATGTTTAACCGGAAATTAATGATCCCAACCCCCACCAAACACGCTAATTGCAGATACCAAAACTTCAACCTTTCAAGTTGAATTGCGAGAGTAGGAGAAACAACTCGAGAATTTCTCATTGCTTGAAAAACAAGGAAAAGCAAAAGAAAGAAAGTTGGAATCCACAAACACCAGGGCTATAAAAATATCAGGAAACGTCCCACAAGACCCACCACATTCAGATCCAAATTAAAATTAGTGGGCTCCAACTACTAATCTTCCCTAATGAATAAGCAACTGAGCAGTAAGTGGATAACAAACCTGATCGCAACTTCCTGGGAACAGAGAAATTACAAACAGTAGTGCAGTCACCTTTCATAAACTGCAAAAAGCTCTCTGAATTTTAGAATAATCAACATTTTATTTACGCTAACGGCCAAACAAATAACAACAAACGCTGCGTAGTCCAGAGCACTGAACCAGAGACAATAAACAAACAACTTGTTTACCTTTTTGGGAAACTTAAATCCTTTATTGGAAGTACTATTTCTGCTGCTAAGACGAAGCTCAGCTTCACCGTCCGACCCCACACGCCCCATTCTGAGCGTATGTTTCCTCGATTTCTTCAAAAATGCAAGCTTCCCACCGTCAAAAACAGAACCTTCAATTCACGAAAACCAACAAACTTGAATTGGAGAACAAAAAGACAGGTACCCCACACAAAAAGAGCGAGAGAGAGAGCGAGTGGTAATAAAAAAAAAAAGGAAATGACAATAAATTTAAAAAAAAAAAAAACCGAAAGAAAGGAAAATCAGACAAGCGGTATATTTGTCAATGCCGCCATCCAAAGGGCCAAAATGCATCAAAGACTAGAAGAACATAAGCGCAGATAAGCCAAAATTGCATTGATGGCTTTTTTTTTTTTTGGGTAGCATGTTAGCAATAATATTAACTGAAAATTTGGGAAGAATGCATGGACATTTGAGTAAATTGTAGTATGTAATCATGTATAGCGTAGTAGCAGTACTAACCACATTGTTGGTGTTGAGTGAGGTGGGGGTTTGGACTTTGGAGGCAAAAACAACGACGAAGAACCTCCTCCGCATTTTATCGGATTGCTGTCCATATGTGGGACTGGGATGAGAATAGGGACACTAGTGACATGGGGGGGGATCGATAATGAATAAAAATCTGATAGCTGCTTTCAAGGCCAAGATTTTATTTAGTTTTGACCCTCTCTGGCCTCAAAATTCAGTACAAATGCAGCGGTCTATAGATCTTTATTTCTGTCAACATCTCCTACTCCTCCAGAAGAGAGTGGTGGATTGGTATAACCATCAATCCGCAAGCAGAGCTCTGCATGCGCAGAATTATCTGCAATAAACCAAAAAGGAAAAAAAAAATTTGCAATGATCAGAAATAATCTAATCGACAGTAAAAATGTGGACTAAAAGAGGACGAAGTGGCATTTAAGTTTACAGAAAACGTTATTTAGTGAGTGACTGAGTAACCGAGAAGGTTTCCAGAAAGCAGACCCGATAAATATGGTTTTTGGGATTAGCTCGGTTCTGTTGTTAAAGGAGTATATATCAATAAGAAAGTTGGAAAGAGAAAAAAAAAAAAAAAAAAAAAAGGAGAAAAGTCAATTCAACAGAGGAGGAGGAGGAGGAGGATTCCATGCCAGATTTATCTCTGCCTGAAATTGAAATCTCTCTTTCTTCGTTTCTATTCATTAGCATTTTATCAATCCATCAATCAACCTATCTATCTATCGAGACATATAATCGTAACAAAGGATTTGTAATTTTACTACACATAAGGATGAGACGAAGAGAAGAAGAAGAAGAAGTGCATTTAGGTAATAAGTGGGGACTGGACAGCCTCAAGGGCTCAAAGAGAGAGAGAGAGAGAGGTAAAATGGTAAAAGCTAAAGAAGGATAAAGGGAAAAAGGGCAAAAAAAAAAACAGAGTGAATTTGGTCCCTTTTCAAAATCTTTTTTTCTTCTTGGTGTAGAGAATCTGGTTCTTCTTCCCCAAATAGTACCAGTAGTAGTAAAAGCTCTCTCTCTCTAACAGAAAAAAAAAGAGAGAGAGAGAAATAAGGAACGGACCTCAACTAAATTGAAAAGTTGTTGAAGAAAAATGGCTGCAAAGCTGAGCGACCTTAATAAAAGAAATTGGTTTAATTATTAAAAAAAAAAAAAGAGGAAAATATGCATCAACAGAAGTGAGCAGAGCAGAGCAATCCCGGAAAGAAAGTCGGAAGTAGAAAAAGAAAAAGAGAGCTGGGAGATTGAGGTGATAAAAGTGCCTCCTCCTGGTTGCTTAATTGTTGTTTTGGTGATAGAATGCAATAAGAGGAGAGGAAGTAGTCCAGAAAGGATGAAGGAAGCAGCCACAGGAATGAAGAATGAAGAATGAAGAATGAAGAATGAAGAATGGATGATGATTATACCTCCGGCCTCCCCACCCCACTCCACTGCAGACTGCAGTTAAACCAACCAAACAACAATAATGCTCTCTTTCTGCTGCTTCTTCTTCCTCTGCTCTATGCAGTTGTGTATTTACATTTCCCTCTCCCTTCTCTTTCCTTAACAGTCACAGTCCCAGAAATAGAGAAAAAAAAAAAAAACCAACCTGACTTTTTCCACTGCAAACAGATCCTTTCAGATTTTTCCTTTAAAAAAAAAAAAAAAAAAAAGGGTTCGGAGTTCGTACACTGCAGAGTGCAAACAAACACACCGCTTCCTTCCTTCCTTCCTTCCTTTTAACTAACCGCCTGGGGTCCACAAACACACACTCTCTCTCTCTCTCTCTCTCCCACATATATATATATATATATATATTTTTTTTTTTTTTCATTTTTCTACGCCTACGTGAAGCTATGAACCGGGGATCATAAAATGCTTGTGGAGTAAGTAGTGTCTTGACTTTTCACGACCCAAAGTTACTTTATGTAGTTGTTTGTAATTAATACACGCCTCCAGTCCTCTGCGCAAAACGTGAACTTATTTAGCTTTAGAAAATGCAGCTAGCTAGTAAAAAAAAAAACGGATGGTTTTTGACCAAAAAAAAAACAAAAGTAAAACGGATGGTGGTGGGTCACCGGCTATTCAAATTAAATAACAGCGCATTTGATTCTGTTTAGCCGTTTTAACCTCCTCCTCAGTCCTCCCCTCAATTCTGAGATGGGTTGTAATTCATCGTAAACAAACAAATTTTACAACATTGTAAAATTTAGTGGTGTTTACAACGGAAAGTCGGTAAAATACTTCACCTGTGTGACCGACATCATTCTGAGCGACGGGTGAACTTTCATTATCTATTCTTTCTTCTTCAAAAAGGTACAGAATGTGCGCCCGTCCTTGGGCCTAATTCACTTACCGTCTGACTTGGATCTCAATTCTATACTTAACCACTAAACTGAAGATCAACCTAATTGCGGCCCAACACACGTGAACAACAACAAAATTATGCAGTACTAATATTTGATTCAATTGAAGTCGTTTGCATAATTGCATCCTTAACGTACACATCTAGCCTTCGGCGGCTTTGTTTGAATTGCGATTTTTCCTCGAAAATTACATTATTTTTCGTGATCACGTTTCTCTATTATTTTTTTCCCTCACATACTATAGTATTTTTTCCATGAAAAATCATGGAAAATACAATCCAAACACAACCTAAATTGGCTTGCCTTTGGGCTTTGGAGAGTAAGAAGATGAATGTGTCTTAGAAAGCGACATCCCACTCCTTAGAAAAAAAAAAAAAAAAAAAGTGACATCCCGCATAAGACAGAGCCCACCTCGACCCTCGTTTGCTTGTGTGTGAATAACATCTCTTCCAGCCAAGGGCCAAGGGTGTTGACGAGTCGAGTCAAATTCAAGTAACACTGTGTTGAAGTTTGAATCCGATGAATTCTCAAGCTATACTCAATCAAGTAAGGAACTTGTAACTCATCTTGATTCGCAGGTAAACTCGAACTCGACTCTATAAGATTCGATTCTGTTCTCAAATTTTTTTGAGTTTAAGTTTTCAAACAAAGACTCGAACTTTACTAAAACATGAATCTATAATGATCATTTCATAATTAAAATTAAAATAAATGTATTGCATAAAAAATAAAACTACTCGATTAGTCTTGTTGAACACTCTCATAGAATGCCAGAGAATTTGAACTCGACTTGAGATCTGTGATGATTTGAGTTGCGAGAATGTGATGATTTGATACTTTGATTCTCTGGAGCTGCGGGCGTGGCTTGGTCACGATCGCTGCGTGATGTAGGGTATTAATGGAGCTTTAGGTTGTGAATGAGCAAATGTGCGAAATGTGAAGCGTCAAACCATTCATTCTCTTTTTCTTAGCCCCTGCAACTGATCAAATAAAATCCTGCTTGCTGAGTTGGGTTTTTTTTTTCTCTTTATTATTTTTTTAATGAATCATGTACTGAATATTTAGAGAAAAAGACCAAAATTTGGTGTTGAAATGTATCCAAGTTCATGAATTCACTCCAAACTCGCACACGACTTGGTATTTATTATTTGTTGCTATTATTATTTGTGGTGGGCCGGATCTTTATTCCTCGAAGTGCTATCGTAGCGAGTTACTCGAAGTCCAAAATCAAATGGATTGGGCCTCATCACAACTAAAGATAGCATTTGAATGAAAGAAAGCACGGTAGGTATCTATTTCTCCTTTATTGGACACGCACACAGTAATAGTAGCAGTACTTAATATCTGATCCGACGAAGAAGAGAAAACACCGATGACAGGAAACTATTATATGCATGTACACAATCTATCTATCTCTGAAGTTGTCGTGCTGTAAAAAATTTTCATTCTTTTAAAAGGGATTCAAGGGCACTTGTGTCTGCCGCCGTGAGTGGTCATGTTGGCATAGCAGGGGCAGACATCCTCATTGCCGGAAGTGCCCGGAGGAACGCAGTGGCACCGCTCACAGCATGTCCCGCATGCTCTCTTGCACAAATTTCGCCTCTTCGTTTCCGCGCACCTCGCGTCGCATGCAGACTTGCAATCTGATCGACAAAGATGGAGTTTCCTTAGTTTCAAGAAAGATGAAAATTACTTTCAAAGCCAAAAAAAGAAGAAGAACCTATATCATTATTTTGGAGAAGAGAGCGACCACCCGTGCTGCTGTCAATCTGCGGCTGCGGGACGAACAATGTATCAGCCTCCAAATAATCAACATATGTTGAATTAAAAGGATGCGTATATAACGTAGGATCCTATATTGAATGAGTGAATTAATGTAGCCAGCGTTACGTACCACTTGAGCAGCGTAAACAAGGGAAAGTGTAACAAGGGAAGCGATGATGATGATGACCATCATCATGGGAGCCTTAGGAAAAGCCATGGCTTAATCTGTAGTGTACCGATTATATATAAAAAATAAAAATAAAAAAAAAAAGTGGAATCGCTTTGTGTTGTGCAAGGTTTAAGGAATGCTAAGAATCCTAGGACGATGTTGGTTGCATTTATAGAGAGAGAAAAGGCGTGAGAAAATGGATGGAGGCCGGGTTGGGTGCAAGCGATCGATGGTGGAAGAATTAAGAAGGTGTAGATGCATTGCATGGTAATTAAAGTAAGGCCCCCTTTTCGGGAACAAATTGGGGAACTTGCACTGCTAATAGTAATTGTCCAACGCGTAAAGCTTTTAGTACTATTTACCTTCCTCCTCCTATAATGTATTACTGGTACGTGTTTACTTTGTCTTGCAGCTAGCAACTGTCTGTTTGTGACGAAGAAAGCGGAAAGTGTAAACAACGTTTTGTGGAGACATTCTTGTATTCGAAGAAAAGAATTAAAATTTCATCAAGCATTTTATAATAGTAACTCACAAAGCGTTCGATAATTAATTGTTACATCGTTCAAAAAGGGTCTAACAATTGTAACTGTACGTCTGTTGGTATTTCCATGTCTTTGCTAATACTTTCTTATTTAGTATCAATGGAATAAAATCACATAATTACGCATTAATGCTACTAAACGAAGACTTTGACGAACCACAATTGGAAATGATGTTGGTGGAAGAAGGACCAATAATAATAATGTCTCTGCAAAGGTGCCAAGCCATGCACGAGGAAGATCTTCTCATCTCATCTGGGGCTTCACTTGTTTATCCTCCTCCAGGGATATCTCATTCCCAAATGAGATGGATCTTTGAGCATCATTTTGGCAACCAAGTAACCTGGATTAGATGACGTTAAAATTTCAGAATAAAGAAGTATTACCCTTTTTCTTTTTTGAACTCATTTTTACTTAAAATTTTTTAAAGTTTGTGAAGGTTACAAGTCTTTCCATAAAATCAAGAGTAAATTACATTTTACCCCCTTGTGGTTTCTGCAAAAATCACATAAACGCTCCATGATTCTAAAAGCTATATATAAATCCCTTATGGCTTGGGTTGAAATGTCAAACAAACGGAAAGTACCCATCGTGGCGATTCATAGGCAAAATGTCCAAATTACCCTAATATAAATACAAAAAAGAGAGCGGATGAAGTCAGACAAAGATTCTTGTAAGATGACAAAAGATTCATGTGTAAAGACAATCATCTATTCTTGTAGAGGTTTAGAATTAGGACACAACTGTTTTGGTGAATGCCTATTATAACAGAAGATCTTTCAGAACATTTTGCAGCAATGCCTACTTCATATGCTAGTGTTGAACAGTGTGATTTTCCAACATACTATACATTTATATGTCATCGAAAAGCTGGACATAGCCAGTTGCTACAGCAATTCCTAAGATAATAACAGGTGGAAGGATTACAAATGCTCCAATTGTAGCAAAAAAAACTGAATTATTCCTCTGAGATACTTCATCCAGGTAAGCTTGTCTTTTGATGTTCCTCTTCTGTGAAATAGTTAAGAGCTTTGGGCTAACCTTCTTCAGATTTTTTCCTAGTAGAATGATAAAATCGTCATCTCTCTCTCCAACCAAATTAGCAAGCTGATTGCAAATTGTTAGTCCGGATGAGCCCTCATCACTCTCATAACCTCAGCTGTCCCAGCTTCCAAGTCACTTCATAAGGTGCCTGCGACAATCTTCTGCAGCCATGACTCCAGCTGAGTAGGCACCATGAACAGATCCCTGATGATCCATGCTAACAGCTCACCTCCGAAGAAAATATTGCCCACTAGTGCTCGGAGCTTGTCATATATGTCCGCTGCGTTTCCAACCAAATCATAAGAGTAGCATCCGAGGGAGTCTGGATCCGATGAGTACAGATCTAAACTTTATTGGGTGCGTTAAAGTGATCAGGGGTAATACGGAAATGTTTCTTACTGCTATCAGTAGTACAAGCGCGTTTAAGTCACGAATTGCTACGATGAGTGTTTTTCGTCTATTTGACACTTCAACCCAAATTACAGGAGATTTATATATAACTTTTAAAATCATGGGGGTTATGTGATTTTTGCGGAAACCACAAGGAGGTAAAATATAATTTGCCATAAAATCAAAAGAGGTAAGCATTATTTTTTAAACCTTAGAGGAGATGGTCACAATTGTCAGAAACCTCAGGGGTATCTAAAATTATCCCAATTTTAATTTCAGGAGTGCTAAGTAATAATATTAGAAACTTTAGGGGAGGTTTCTGATATTATCACAACTTGAAATAAAAGCTACTTCTACATTGTCGACCGTTGTGCACTTTACTAAATCCAACGGTCATATGTTCAGTCTCTCCGACCCCACTCTCTCTCTCTGCACTCTTCTGCCCCGACGGGAAAAAGTTAAAGAAGAAAGAAAACTTGAAAAAAAACTCGGAAACCCTAGGCTACTCTTCGCGTCAATTACCCAACAATGGCGAAAGCCAAAGGCTCAAATGACTCATGGGACCGTGAAAAATGCAACAAAATATTTAACGCTATGGTCCACTTGTTGCAGAATCAGCAGACGCAAATTCAATATCTGGCTAAAGACAGGAAGCTTCTTGAAGACATAGTTAAGTTACAGCATGAACGCTGGACTTCTGATGTTAATCTTCTGAAAGAGCATATCTTCCAGGTGAAAATTCCATGCCAAAGTTTTGTTTTCTTCTTAATTGCTGTTGAAATTTATCAAATTAGGGTTCGTCTTTATAAAGTTGGGATTTTTATTTATTTATTTATTTATTTTGTGGCATTGAAATTGGTGGATTAGATGAGGAGGGATTTGACCATGCAAGAAAAGGAGCGCATCGTTGAGGCTACTAAAGCTGATATGGTTATGGGTTTGAAGTTGAGGGAGTCTTTCCTGTACAAGCAGAAATTTGGTTAGTTTACTTTTCTTTCTACTCAACAAGAATTAAAGTGTTTTTATTTTTTTTCTTTGTTCTTCTTTTATTTTCTCGATAACTCTGGAGAGAGTATGTTTATGCGTTTATTATTGTACACCTGTGGTGTATAGTTTGGATTATGCTGAATTTTTTAAAGATTATTTTAGTAGATGGTCGCAAAAAGCTTTTTAAAAGCTCAATGTAAACACATGGCAAAAAAATGAGTACCCAAGAGAGCGTCCCCTGCAAAAGAAACAATTATCTTTAAGAGACATATAGTATGTGCATGTGGTTGTTATAGGTTTAAATTCATATGCAAACTGCCACAAAGATATGAAAGCACAAGTGCTGGAAATTGCATAAACTTCAATTACGTAGTTCTGTGCATCTCTGTTCCATTAGTCATTTTGCGCTGTTATAGTGCTTTCATTTTGCGCTGTTATAGTGCTTTTGATCGGTATAGTCCAATTGGAAAGTCACTCTCTGTTACCTGTATATAGATTAGGAAAGCAAAGAAATGAAATATCATGTCCTCTGTGGTTATTAATCTTGATTTTTTTTAATGCACCTGTTTATGTATTTTCTCCTTTTTGGTGCTTATTAAGCGCAGAAAATGCAGATAGTGAATTGGCTGATTTTAGGGAATGGTTTGAACAGCTTGCTCGTAAGTGTTCGGAAAAGGTACTTTTTGAACCCCTTCTTTAAGGAGATGTAGGTTGTATTTGATTCATTTTTTTTAGTCTCTTCTTCAAGGAGTCACTTGTTTCATGTTTATTTGCAGGATACATCTGCTGATGTGATTAAAAAAGGAGAAGAGCATCGGTATAAAGCTCTGGAGAGTAATTTGAAAAGGCTGCAATGTGAAAATGAGAAGCTTATGTTAGATAAGAATTCAGAGATTTCTGCTCTGCTGGCTGAGAAGAATTTTGTCTGGAACCAGTATAAACTAATGGAGACCAATTTGAATGAGCAATTGAGACAGAAGCGTGCTGATGTTGAATCTGCAAATGAGAAGATATGGGGGCTTCTGTCCAGCATGGAGGATATGCAGTCTTCTAATTCTGTAAAGGATAGAATGATTGCAAGATTAAACGATGACATTGCTAGGCTAAGATCTGACTTAGTTAAAAATGATGAAGAAGTTTCCAGACTATCTAGGAAGCTGGAGGCGTTAAGGAGGTTGAGAAAAGATTCTATGACCCCAGTGTTAGGTCGCTGCACAACTGAATCTGGGAATACCAACTCAAAAGCCAAGAGTGGGATGACAGTAACGACAAAGAAAGAGTTAGATTCTTCCCTTACACTTGAAAAGGTAATTCTGCTTCTAACAAGTTGCTGACGATTGAAATGCATTGCTACTAACATTGCATTATACCCTGGATGTGTATGTGATGCATTTTATCCCAGTAATTAAAATATAAGAATGTCATTGAATTCTTGTTTCTCCTTCATATATGGATTGAATTGTGCTTTTGTCTGTCACATACAGTTCAAATTGAAAGAAAGAACTTTGTCATACTTATACTGTATGAGTTACATTTTCAAAAACAGTTTGCCAGAATAAATTAGAAATATAAAAAGACAGTTGTTCTTTAAGATGTTAGTATACAAAATTTGTTCTGGCCTGCAATTTATAGTATGCTTCCCCTTAAGACAGAATCTGGCAGTGATTAACTCTTTAATATATGCTAGCATTGGAAAGATTCCATTTCGATTCCTCATTTTTTGAAAAACAAGCTTTTCATATACAATACTACAGTAATGCACAAACAAAAATAACTCCAAAAACACCACATCTATACAATATATCAAAAACAACTCCAAATATACAAAAAAAAAAAAAAATTAAGATCTACGCCATTTTCTTCTGCCATCTATCACCACTCCCCTCTTTTCTCCTCTCTCCTCTCCCTCCCTCTTCAAAGATTGAGTTGTTATATTTTGGATTAGCTGTTTTTTGGGGTGTTTTTGAAAAATTTTACTGTAGCAGTGTATATGAAAAATTTTTACTATAACATTTTTTTTAAAATATTTGATATATTGTATGGATGGGAAGTTTTTTGAGTTATTGTGTATTATTGTAGTATTGTATTTGAAAAACTTGCTTTTGAAAAAATGACCAATCCAAATGGGGCCTCATATGGGAGCTTGTGCTAAAGTGGTTTT